GGGCCGTTACCAAACGCCTTTAAATGCTTAGAAATTATTTCGAGGAATAGAATGGTTACCAAACGCACCCTAAGAATACACATTTTGGTTGTTGAAATTGATGGTCCCATTTAATCATCTAAAAATCAATACAAAAACAACAAACCCAATCGAAAATATAGATTTTTCAAACCCGAGGTGATGTCGAGGCGAAAATTCGAAAAGGCCTGTGAATTTTCCGAGCCTGTAAAGATATTTACAGTGATAAGTAAGTACCCTCAGAGCACTCGTTAGCATGATTTGAATGCGGGACGAACCCTGAAGTTTACTAATGGCTACAATTAAGTAAAAACGACCACGAGATGTGCGGAAACGAAACTTGCCTAACTAGTTGCTGAAGAAGCAATGCCAACTCCTTTTCTAATGGTACAATTTAGATTTGTTGGACCACGTGAGTTAAGTTTTATGAGTCGCATGAAAGGATTAGAAACACGACTTTAGCCACTAGGAATCTCGCTTCCTTTTGGCCAAAAGCCAATAGGAGTGTCATTAATTAGGCCACTATTCTATGTAATATAATGTCTAGAAGAGAAGCTCGTCTACGGGATTCATATGCTCTTTATATTTATATATATGTGATCTCTCTCCCTATATCGGAGGCAGTAGAGTCGGGTTCGGTCCTAGTTTATTTCACAGATGAAACTCTCTTCAAAATTACTTAATCAATATGCCCGTTCAGTCCAAGTCGGCGATTTCCGGTGAAAATAAGCTAAAACTGAGAAAATTGTTCAAAAATACCTAAACCTATTATACAGCGGTCAATTCAATCATAAACCTCTTATTTGTGCAAAAGTTCGGCTCTAAACCTATTGTATGGTGGCCAATTCAATCTTGAATCTTTCAATTGTGTCAATTTAGTCCTAAATATGTTGACGATTTGTCAATTTATTCCTAAATATTTTAACGATTTGCCAATGTAATCCTTATGCTATTTCCGACCAAAATTACTGGGAAGGACTAAATTGGCAAATCGTCAAAAGATTTACGATTAAATTGGCACAATTGAAAGATTTATTACTGAATTGACCACCGTACAATAAGCTCATGGCCGAATTAGCACAATCGAAATGTTCAAGACTGAATTAGCCGTCGTATAATAGGTTTATGGTTTTTTGGATAATTATTCCGCCACTCGAGACAGGATTAACATCCGTATAATAAGTTTCAGGACCGATTAAATTATTTCTGCCGTGACTTCCCGTTCGCCAAATTTCGCGCGTGGTTGAACTTTCTTATTTTTAATTGAGATTTATTTTTTTTTCATCGTTTTTGGTTGGGCAAGTAATTAAAAGAGGCCGAACCCAAAGGTGCCAAAAGATTCCTCGATGTCGGCTTAAAGGAAAACGACAAATTTCTATGAGAAGGCATCATAGGCCTCCGTATGCGGGACTCTGTGGGACCGGCTTGAATGATCCCCATCATTTGGCACCACATGAGCCCGCGAGCCATACGATTACGACCACGTGTTGACCTGGCCAATCTTACATGTTTTTGTGCATCCCAAGGCATACACGATTCAGCATAGGACGGAAATCCCGATTTTTGCGACAAAAAATATTTCCTTAAAAATGATCGTTCATATTATATGTAAAATGAACGAACGAAAAAATGTTTTCATTATTCATCGTGAAAACGATTAAATATATGTTTTTGTCGATAACAAAATATATTTTTTATTGATTAATTGTTTCGAGTGATACCAATGATTATTTTTAGGAAAATGTTTTCCAGATTATTCATTTTTCGCGAAACAAACGGAGCTTAAATAGTGTTCACCCCTCATCAACGTTGTCGATTTTTTTCATGACCAAGAAAACCTATGTCGAATTGATAAATGACGGTCCATGCAATATCGTAATTTCCCCCATGGTCCAGTTAAGACGCGATCCAGAACTCAAGTGGGTCGCCTTGCGTGAATCGCTTGCTCATATTGGAGTCGGAACCGAACCTATGCCGTATGACTAGGAGACGCAAACAAGTCGGGTTCCTTAATCATTGAATCGACCCCACGGGGTTAACATCGTCGAGTTGTTATTTTAAAATAAGCAAAGCATATCTCACACTTAATCCAATAACCACTTTCATATACCTAAATTGAAAAATCCGGAAGATCAAAATCAAAAGATGAAAAGAATAGGGTAATTTTGAAAATCTGTCTCCTAGTTCATGGCCTAGAGTCTTCCCATCATCTAAGACCTTTTCATACATGTAATCTTGCCTCTTATTAGATTATCATGTAATCATTTATTCATAGATCAATAGCACTATCAATACTCTAAGCCGAAAATCTAAGGATCAAGAGTATTAAGTGGATCAACCACTTAAGTCCCTATAGACTCGCTAACCGTGAATGGAAAGTTTTGAATGAACACGGAGCTTAATTCACCTTAAAATTAAGTGACACAATCTTACCTCGAAGATTACTTGATTTACAAAGATGGAAACTCTTGGCTAACTACTTCACTTTGTGCTAGTGTTGTGGGTAATACCCAAATGGAAACTTTTCAGAATTTGGACCCTTTGGGTACATGACGTTTGAGTGTAGAATTGGGTTGAACAATTAAGGAAGAACAAGCCTCACATTTTAAGCATTTTAGCATTAACTAATCAAAGGTTAGAGTTGCGTCCCGGACGAGGTCATCTCATGGTTAAAAAAATTGAGGTTGAAAAGAAATTAGGAGACGTGGCATGACGAAAAGGTGACAAGTGGCCATCTTTTGGTTGGCAAAAACTTTTGTGTGGTGCGATAATGCCAACAGCAGCTGATGAATTGTGGTCATGAGAAAAGGGAGAGGGAAGAAGGTGATTGAAGAATAAATTAATGTGACCCATATGTGAAAAAAACATGGGCGTCATGTACTTGACCAGTTAAAGTTTGTGTGTCCTAGAGACATTTCAGGCATTTTCAATGTATGTCAATCATGCCCCCGTGGCTCTATCTATCATAATGTCCCATCAATCTAGTGTCACTTTTGTGATTATAATGGAACGCTCATGAAATTCACGCGGTCCAATGCACGCTAAGATCTAATTGGTCACATAATGCACTAGCCACTGAGCACACCTTATTTTACTTATACACGTGTATCACGTAAAACCTATCTTTCACGTGCGAATGGCGCTTCCCTTTTAACTGTAGGGATAAATGTAACGAAAGTTACAAAACTTATCACGAAAGTATAATCGAATCCTAAAACTTTTTAAAAAACGCAATCAAGTCCTAAAACGTGTTATGAAAGTACAACCGAGTCCTAAAACTTTCATAAAAAGTGCAATCATGTCCTAAAACTTGTCAAATTGATCCAATCAAGTCCTTCCGTTAATTGTATTTTTTTAAAAATCTAGGACTCTGTTGCACTTTCGTGACAGGTTTTAAGACTCGATTGCACTTTTCAAAAGTTTCGGGACTCGATTACACTTCCGCGATAAGTTTTGAGACTTGATTGCACTCTCGCAACAAGTTTTAGGACTTTGAATGCACCTATCCCTTCAGCTTAATTACAGAATCTCATTTTCGCGCGGCACCCACAAGCGCCTTAAGAGGTCAAATTACTCCTCTTTTGGAACAATTCCAAATTGATGTGCCAAAAAGTTGGAATGGTATAAGTCAAGTATGTGGACGGGGGGTGGCCATCATGACCAATCTGTCCACCCCTTTGAAAATAATATCAAAGGGCACATAGCCAGATCCTACCCGGTCTCGTCGCCCACAGATCCCCAAAGCTTTTGACCTTTTTGCATCGGCGTAGGAAAAGAGTCCCCCCGGACAAAACCAAGCACCTCTTCTTGTTCGATCGAGTCTTCCCTTAGCATCCCACCAAAGGCCACAAACGCTTTACCAAATTTCCCTGGCTTAAAAACATTCGAAAGACGAGAGGCATGGATCATGTCCACGGCTCTTCTGTCGGCCCCAAAGTTTCGCAAGCCTGGGAGATATTTTTTTGCCTAATGAATTCGTTTTGTGTCCTAGGCGAATGACCTCTGTCCGATCGCGCACGAAACCCGACATGCCCGCGATGGCAGAAAACCGTCGCGGGATGATCGCCTTTCGCGTCCTGAATTGGTCACCGATAGGATCAGGAACAGCGTGAGTGTGATAATCGCATTTCTCGTTCGAAGCAACGTAGAATCGCACGAAATCTTTTTGTTAAAAGGGAAAAACAAATAACGGGAGCCCGCGGATAAATTTCGCTCCCGCTCTCACCGAGAGTCAGTTGAAATTTGCTATCGGTGCGCTGAACTTAGATTTTCTTCGATTGCTCAATGCATCGAGTCTTTTTTGTTGTTTCTTTGAAATTATGCACTTACATTGAAATACGGCTAGTTTTTCTACTAAATGCCGATATGCCGGGTCTAATTTTCTGGGGGCTATGCTACCGCTCGTGCTCACAACATGAGCATTTCGCTGAAAAACATGTCGGGTTCCTATTGAAACGGATCCATTGGAGAAAAAAATGCGAATGATTTGTGCATTTGATAATTTAAACTCGAAATTTATCAATAAACAAATCGATCAAAATAAATAAATTTTAGCCATTATCAATGAAATTTGCTATGATTGCCGAGGCCTGAAGCAGCTTCAACTTCTCTTGCACGAGCGATGGTCGGCACCGACCGCCTCCTAGCGCATTGGCACGAGAGTCCGACACCCGCCGCCATCAAAATCAGCTCCGCGGCGGCGGGTACGGCGGTGGCCGCCTCCTAGTCCTCGGAGCGGCGACCGATTCCATACGCGCCTACTCGCGCAAGCGAAAGGAGGACGAACCAGGGGGGGAAGGGGAGGGGGGGGGGGGGGGGGGAAGTTAACCATGGTTAACTCCGGGGTTAGGTGGGTTTGACCAGTCGGGTTTGGTAGGCGTTGGCTCCCTCCTAACTCTCTCTCCCCCTCTCTCTCTCTCCTCCTTCTCTCTCTTCCTCCTCCGTATAAAAGCTCGACCTCCTCCCCCCTCCTCCGCTCAGTCTCGCTTCTCTCCAACCTCACCTACCCCCTCCACCGCCGTCGCCGCCGCCGCCGCCGGAGAAGGAGGAGGACGCTTCGGTCTCCGCCGCCTCCCTCGCCGCCGCTCCGGTTGCCCCCGCCGGTCCCGGCGACAGGCCGCTCCATGGACTCCTCGCCGTCTTCCACCTCCGGCTCCCTCAGGGCGTCGCCGCTCGATCTCATGGCGGCGATCATCCGGGGCAAGGCGGACCCGTCCAACAGCTCCGCCGAGTCGGCCGCCAACGAGCTGGCCTCCATCATCCTCGAGAACCGCGAGTTCGTCATGGTCCTGGCCACCTCCATCGCGGTCCTGATCGGCTGCGTCGTCGTGCTCGTGTGGCGCCGATCGGGCGGGAGGAAGCCGCGGGCCTTCGAGCCACCCAAGCCGCCGGCGGTCGTGCAGGAGCCCGAGCCGGAGGTCGACGACGGCAAGAAGAGGGTCACCATCTTCTTCGGCACCCAGACTGGTACCGCCGAAGGCTTTGCTAAGGTACGCGTGTCGGTTTAGTTGAAAGGGATTTGGAATTTGGCCGTTCTGTGCGCGTCTCGTTGACGATCCGCGTTGGTTTTCGTCTTTGTGAAGGCTATGGCGGAGGAGGCGAAAGCGAGGTACGAGAAGGCGGCGTTCAAAGTCGTTGACTTGGTATGCTTATGACTTCCTTCTCCTTTGAGCTTAGAATTCTGGTCAATCTCGTGTAATTACCGTGTGAACGGTGGAAGTATTGAATAATTGCTTGAGTGGGGGTGCGCTTTGCAGGATGATTACGCTGCTGAGGATGAGGAATACGAGGAGAAATTGAAGAAAGAGGACGTGGCCTTTTTCTTCTTGGCAACGTGAGTTCTGTTCTACGATATGTGGCGTGTTCATGTCCGAGTTCTGCATTTGGCTGTTGTGGTTTTTTATACGCTATCTCGATGCTCTTTACGCAGATATGGAGACGGCGAGCCGACAGATAATGCTGCGAGATTCTACAAATGGTTTTGTGAGGTAAACTTTGCTAGCCTTAGCCAACAGTGACTTAACTTGACTTCTCTTTCCTAGAGCTCAAATTTTGGGATTGTTTGTCTAAATAGGGTAAAGAGAGAGGTCAGTGGCTACAGAACTTGCAGTATGGAGTTTTTGGCCTTGGCAACAGACAGTATGAACATTTTAACAAGGTTTGGAACTAAACTTGATTGGTTCTTCTGTACTCTTTTGTGAAGTCTGCTAGCTTTGATTCTAGGAATTTTCATGACCTCTCAATAGTCAGTATAAATGTCATTTTTCTCTTGCTGATGACTTTGATTACTATTTTCAATTATAGGTTGCAAATATAGTGGATGACATCCTTGTTGAGCAAGGTGAGTTCCCATTCATCTGGCTGCCATTGCCAGTTGTGTGCCATTTTATATCGAGTCTAGTTTACTGGGCTACCATGTCCTGGCGCGGACATTTGTTGGGAATGCCGTGGTCGGATGAGTTTCTAGTTGTAGTCATTTGAGTCCTGCCGTATGGAGGTTCATTGTAGTCATGACTTTCTTTAGGTTTCTCATATGAACATTTGTTGGGAATGCCCTGGTCGGATGAGTTTCTAGTTGTAGTCATTTGAGTCCTGCCATATGGAGGTTCCTTTTCCTGTTGGGCAGCTTAATTTGCGCTAAACCTAGCTTAATTGAATGCTTTAATTTGGGTAAAGTGCGGTAGTTTTTATTCTTCTTCCTCGAATTTATCTTCCTCGAATGTGAGCCATTCTGCATATGTTAATATCTGGAACCTGAAACAGTAAACATGGCTTTGTGTAACATAATGCAAGTTACTGATAGGACTCAATGCAAGGCAAAGGCCACAAGCAGCAACTTAGGCAAAGGAAACATGCACATGCTTACATATTTACCGCATAAGTGGACAGGTTATGTGTATATCTGACGACTATTAAGTTTAAGGAGGATTTGTCAATTCAATTCAACTTCACATTGGCATATATTGCTGTACAGTTGAGAGCATGGCATATTCATGCTAGATTAAGGGTTTTTACCTACCTTGAAGTTGAGCTAGTAAAAATGCGTTTCTCTGTCATTCTTTTCTTCAATGTTCATGTCAGTCCTTTGGAAGTCAAATTCCATGGAAAAAAGAGTTAAAGTGATGCTCTTGAAATTGTTTTTTCCCGTATCTCGTTGGCTTCAATAGAAACCTAGTTCCTGAGTTGCTTGTAGTTCTCTCATTTAGATTAATAATCTGCAGGTGCGAAGCGTTTAGTGCCAGTCGGTCTTGGAGATGATGACCAGTGCATTGAAGATGATTTCACTGCATGGTATCAGAAATACTTAAATCAGCTTCTTGCAGTTAGCTTTCTAATCTTCTTTCAATCCTGAATCTAGTATAATAAATCCAATATTTTGATTTTCACTCTGTAGGCGTGAGTTGTTGTGGCCGGAGTTGGATCAGTTGCTTCGGGATGAGGATGATGCCACAACTGTGTCCACTCCCTATACTGCTGCTGTACCAGAATATCGGGTTGTTTTCCACGAACCTGCAAATGCTAAAGTAGACAGAAGCTTGAGTTTTGCAAATGGCCATGCCGTAGTTGATGCGCAACACCCATGCAGGTAATGAAGTGCTCAGTACTTTTAGTTTATGATTAAAAAACCACATCAATCTTCTTCCATTAAGACGTTTGTTTTTCTTCATGAAGGGCTAATGTGGCTATAAAGAAGGAGCTTCACACTCCTGCATCAGATCGCTCTTGTACTCATCTTGAGTTTGACATTGCTGGCACGGGACTCACGTAATTTTTCATCCTTGATCACTTGCTTTATGTTGGTGTAATCATACTGCCTTCATCCTCTGATTTTCTCTCTGAATATTTTTATGAGCAAGTATGCTGTCTAGAAATACGTGGGCACTTGCTCACCTTCTACTTCTCTTGTCAGATATGAGACAGGAGATCATGTCGGTGTATACTGTGAGAACCTGATTGAAACTGTGGAGGAAGGATTAAACCTATTGGGTTTGTCGCCGGATACGCATTTCTCCATCCATACTGATAATGAGGATGGAACACCGCTTGGTGGAAGCTCGCTACCACCACCATTCCCACCCTGTACTTTAATATCAGCACTCACACGATATGCAGATCTCTTGAGTTCTCCCAAAAAGGTTTGGTTTCTTTACTATATTTTTACTGTGGTTATGTGATTAACTACGGATTACTATGAGTTAATGAAGTTTGTATGCCTCTGTTCTGCTGCTATTCTGATTCATTGCATTGTCTTCTCTTCAGTCTGCTTTGCTAGCTTTGGCAGCTCATGCTTCTGATCCTGCTGATGCTGATCGATTGAGACACCTTGCTTCACCTGCTGGAAAGGTTGTGAACAAGCCTATGAACTGAATCCTGATCGGTGTTTATGCATCCTCTTTCATGTTTGTGGAAGTAACTTGTATGCCAATTGTACAGGATGAGTACGCCCAATGGATAATAGCAAGTCAGAGAAGTCTCCTTGAAGTCATGGCTGGATTCCCCTCTGCTAAGCCCCCACTCGGTGTCTTCTTTGCAGCAGTTGCCCCTAGGTTGCAACCCCGATACTATTCAATCTCATCATCCCCAAGGTGATTTTTTAGATTTCATTGTTCTTGCATTTGCCAAACCTTTTTATCCAGGTTGCATTTATTACTATGATGGCAACCAGCCGATTGTTTTTTCAGTTTCATGCAACTATACCTGTATTTACTGAGTTACTTATTACCTGCCATTTTATTATTCAGGATGGCTCCCTCTAGGATTCACGTTACTTGTGCACTAGTTTATGATAAGACTGCTACTGGAAGGATTCACAAAGGAGTGTGTTCAACTTGGATGAAGGTATATATACATTGAAATGGTCCCATCTATTACAATCTCGTCCCAGTCTCCTTCCCCCACTAAACATAGTTTATGACTGAGTCTCCTTGAAAGGAATTCTTCTTAAGCTAGATGATTGATTAAGCATGAACCTCTCCGGCTATATCTCTGACTCAGAGATTCTCTGCACGACTAAAGTGGGAGGCTAATTGTTATATGGCTGTCTTTGACCTATGGTGGTTTATTTTGTTCCTTTATTCCTTTCCAGAATGCTGTGCCTTTGAGCAAAAGCAATGAATGCAGTTGGGCACCCATTTTTGTAAGGCAATCAAACTTCAAGCTTCCAACAGATGCTAAAGTGCCGATTATCATGATTGGCCCTGGCACTGGATTGGCACCTTTCAGGGGCTTTCTGCAGGTTTGTCTCATCGCGAACTCGTGTCTGTTATAGGTGGATGTTGTAATATACTCGTTGAATCTATCTAAGCTAACAAATTGTCATGTGTTTTCTCATTCCAGGAAAGATTTGCTCAGAAAGAAGATGGAGCTGAATTGGGACCTTCAATATTGTTCTTTGGATGCAGAAATCGTGGAATGGTTTGTGATGCGCTCTTTTTTGAGTTAATGGGATTGAATGGACAGCTGCTATGAAAAATGTAATACCGAGTTGTCCGCCACTGATTTTCTCTTTCCTTGTCGACCCTTTTTTGCAGGATTACATTTATGAAGAGGAACTGAACAACTTTGTTGAATCTGGTGCACTTTCTGAGCTAGTTGTGGCCTTCTCACGTGACGGACCCACGAAAGAATATGTTCAACATAAAATGATGGAGAAGGTATTGTTCTACTTTACCTACAACCACTAGTAGCATCAACATGCTTCTGTTTTTTCAAGTGGGTAATTATTGGTCTCTTCTTACTAACGGCTCTTTTCCCTCTCTTTAGGCATCGGATATCTGGAACATGCTTTCTCAGGGAGCTTATATTTATGTTTGCGGTGATGCCAAAGGCATGGCCAGGGACGTCCACAGGACACTGCACACTATTGCGCAAGAACAGGTAAATGACATTTACTCATGCTCCCTCCTGACCCACAATAAGAGAAAAAGCAATTAAGTTCCCAGCATCATAAATGGCCGCTTATTGGTGGTGCTTGCCATCTGCCATCTGCACAGCCATCTCGGTTTTGGTTGAAAATGTTAGCTTCCATCTACCACATCTGTGGGCTTGTGAAAGAGACTGATGATTTTAATTTCTCAATCAGTGGCCTGCTCTTTGGGTGTGTCGTCTCTTTGCCTGTCTGCAACTTTCTAGTGGTTGAGCTTTTCCAATAGCGACCCACAACTACCCTCTGCTGACACTTTTCTAAATAAAAACAATTTCGTTGTCGAAAGCAACACTTTCATCTTGTTTATGTTTTTTTTGCGTCGCTTTCTGGTGGACCATGAGGGGTCATTTATCTTTTCAGCCGGCAACCATATGTTTCTTACCTTAGTGTCCTCGCTTACTTTTAGATTCCTATTCCTATTTTTAGTCGCGACTAAGCGAGTTGCAACTTGTGCTGTCACAGGGATCTCTCGATAGTTCAAAAGCGGAGAGCATGGTGAAGAATCTGCAAATGAGCGGGAGGTATCTCCGCGACGTGTGGTAACGAACTAAATCCCCGGGATGACGTTACGTTTCAAGAAAGCTAATGAGATAGCCAGGCTTTTGCCGCGAAAGCCTCCCCTTGCCCGAACCCGCGAGGGCAACGACACGTTTTATCGTGCCACGGGGGGATTATATGATTCTTTCTCTTCTCCTTCTTATTCTGTGGGGGTAATTTTTTGGTTCTTATAAGTTATACGCAAAAACATTGTAAAATAAGTTATATTTTTAGGTAATGTGAACTCTAAATTTTCCTCTTGTGTTGAGCCTGAATTGGGGTTCAGAACTTTAGATGATGACAAAGACAGTTTTTCTGTCCTCGGCTTGTACCAAGCGTATCTGCTTTTGGACTAATCAAAGTTACAACGTTTGAATCGATGCCAACTTTGGCCGCTTTCCCTTTGCGACAAGATACCTCTTTTCCTATCGTGTCGGGAGTTTTCCTTTGCACTCCTCTAGAAATTGTGGTTCAGCATTTAAAACAGAGAGATCCTTCTATTTTTTCCTAAATTAGGCAAGAAGGGTCACGCCTTAAATATGAAATATGGCAAGAGTTCCGGGGGTTAGGCAGTATTCCTGGTCCGGAAGATGTTTGATTAGTCGGCGTTTAGAGCGTGCTACCTATAAATTCTGGGGGGGGCGGGGCGGCGGCCCTTGCTCGCCCCTCCCTATTTCGTGGCTGTCGACTGTCGTCAATTAAATTCTAGCGTATGCTTTAGTCACGGCTTCGTGTATCAATTTATCCGGTTGCATGTTATAGTTGAATTATAATTATTGTTATCAGAAAGCAAATAGTGTTTTACTAGCTAAGTAATATATCCGGTTACGTGATTGTACATCCATTTGTAATTTTGTTTTCCATCAAAACAAACTCGAAGCAAAATCTAAATAAATGTAAGTTTTTATCCAACTATTCCCATTTCACATTTTTTTAGTATTAATTATGTAAGCTCCCCTCTATATCCGAATCATACTATTGTTATTGCGTGTACAACTCATGAATTTGGATCTTCACCACAAGAGGACGAAACAAAATGGTGACACAATACCTATTTCAATTAATTGGGATTGCTAAATTGTCGGTTGTCGCACTTATTCTTCAAAGAAAATGTCGATTTTTAAAAAAAAATTTCAATGTATATTATTATAATCACTCTCAATTTTTATAATTTTTTTTCATTGTCTATCTCTAATTTACTTCAATCATATATGGAGTCGCGTGCATGCACTTGAGGGTGCTGAGGGATTACGAAATTCGTAGGAAGAAGTACACAATAAAACTAGTTAAGGCTTCCAAAAGCTTGGGCCAGGTGAGGCGTCGCGGCCCCCTCGAGGTCTAGGTGAGGGCCACGGCTCCCTCGCCCGATCTGGGTGAGGCCGCGACGCCTAGAGCCGGCAAGCGCATCTTGGCCCTCGCCTATGGCCAGCGAGGGTCAAGTAGCGACCCTTGTCGGCCCTTAGGCCAAAAAGGGAAAAACAATCAAAAAAATTACTTAAAAAATGCCCACGTCAGTGCTATCGTCGCCAATTGTGCCACATAGAACCGCTAGCAACCAAGTCAACAATTTCCGGTTAAAATTGATCGAATGGACTAAATTGACAAAATGTGAAAATGTTTAGGTCTCAATTAGTAAAATTGAAAAGTTTAGAACTGAATTGGCCAAAGTGCAATAGGTTTAAGACTTTTTGGACAAATTTTCTAATTTTGAATGGAATCTTTTTGATCAATTTTTTCCGGTAATCGCTATCTTGACGGTCTAGTTTTTGCCGGCCGTCTTACGTGGCACAATGTCACGTTAGCGATTCTGGCGAAAATTGGCTGGAATGATAGCGTTGGAATTTCATGCAAAGGTTTAAGATTAAATTGGCAAAAGCGAAAATTTTAGGACTAAATTGGCATCCATACAATAGGTTTATGACCGATTGGAAAATTTCTCCCTTGAAAAATATTTTTCGCTTGGCGAAGGTATTATAAAGGCAACTTTCAAACTATGAAGAAGAATGATTCGAGAACTTCTACCAAGTGATTTTTCAAGTTCTAATTGGATGATAACGACATTGCATTAAAATTTTGTAAGCAAAGAATTAGTGAGCTGAAACTTTTTCTGTAAAATATAAAACAAATAGAGATCAATCGGTTTTTTGACTAATGAAATTAATTCATGCATATAAAATTTGAAGCTGAAACTTTTTCTGATATAGCAGCATATTGCACTTCATAAAATTGGCTGAGCACATTATTAAGGATACTTAGCATGGGTACTAGTTTGTATAGCCTAATGAAATTTACTTTGCCTATAATTTGAATCACGGCGCATTTACATAAATTTCGAAGCATTTTTTCCCATCACATAATCGTTATTCCTAGTATATTTTACCATAAAAAAATTATCATACAATAAGATGTTTGTAACTAGATTGAGACTTTAGAAATACATCTTAATTCTTTTACGTTCACTTACCGAAATTGTTAAATTATGTCTTGAATTTAATCCCGATTAACTTGGAATGTGATTATAATTGAACTGCAAGGAAACTCTGAACATGTAGGGAAAGTCCAAATTGAACTTGCCAGCAGGATCGTGGGTAATGTAAAAAGGAAAATTAATTAACGACAAAGACTTCTTTTCGTTATTGAAGACGAAAACTCCATGTTGACCTAGGAGAACAACTCGTAGCTTTTTGCATATAAATATTATGTCGTTGAGTTTGGTTGGACGATAAGTGTACTTAGTATGCAGGAAAACTTGCGAGATACATAAAGAACGTTGAAAGCAATCATCCAAGAAAGTTCAGAGTTTTCTTGTGATTGAGTCTTGTAACTTAATCTATAATTGAGAAACACATATGAGCGAGTGTGATCGACCGTTTGTAATCTCATCTTTGACAATTTCAATGGAACCGTCCCGTCGATCTTTCTTCGTTTGTTCCAGCTTTCACGTTAGTCAGAACAACAATAAATTAGATCAAATTAGATCAGGAGGGTCGAGAGAAATATAGGTTCATAAAGATCTCAACTACTTCACTTAAATGGTCCAATTTGGAAACAACTCAACCAGCCCATGGTTTCGGACAAGAAAAAAGCTGCGCCACGATGCCACAGCCACATGTGGTGTGGTGGTTGTTCAAAGGTTGCTCGAAGTTGGAGGTCTCGTTTTCCACGAGAAATGACTCACCGTTCAAAGCGTCCACCATCCACAGTCCCACACGAAGCCTACTCTCAAATTTGCCGGTCGCTGACAACAGAATTCCTTAATGTACAGAATGGACATTCAAAGGGTCTGTGTATGTATCAGAAATTATCAATATTCAGTTCTTGATTTTAACTGAAGAAAAATAAAGGATCTGATTCAACGTGGTTTGACATTGATGGTGAGTTTATACTTGAAGATGGGTTGGATAGTCCTTGATAATCAGGGTCTGGCTTGGATCTTTGGTGGTGGTTACTGAGAGTATTTCACAATAACAAAGAAAGCCTAAGTTTTCGATTGGGGCTGCTTTGCCTGTCCAGGTGTACACACCCGACGGACTGATAGGACTGCGATCCTTGTTTAACATATCGGCACCCGCACACCCATCCCCACTAATTGGAGGAAAGTTTTTCTTCCCTCACCCCAGGGAATACCTCTAAGTTTAACATCCTAGAGTTTAAACGAAGCCTTTTAAGGTCTTCCTTAGAACCATGTTTCTACTTGCAGATTGGTTGAATAGAACAGACCAGATACATGATGTAAAGAATGCAGCCAGAAGTGATCTTACATTGGTCAGCAAGATGGTGTGGCCCCAGCTTATTTTGGTTGTGGCAATAGCATTACCCTTAATGATATAGACCTTTAGAGAAACTTACGATGAAGAAAAGAAGATAATACAAAAGTAAAGGCCCAAAAAAATGGCAAATCTTACGATATCGCCATCGAATTCGATCGATCTGTCTTTGCTAATAACTTTGACTGCATGAGATGCTACGAAATCGATTAGCCACTGTTAGGGTGCATTTGGAAACACATTACCAAAGTGTTTTGGGCCTTCAAAGGTTCTTGTGCAAATGTTAAGGTGTTTAGTGAAGAAATTTGAAACCCATTTGGAAAATGCAGTGCATTTCCAAAGGCCCCCAATGGCCTTTCTATCAAGGCCACTAGAGATCAGCATTGGGTATCCTAGTATTTTGGCCAGACGAATTTTTTTTTTCCAAATTTTACCCTCACAATTGTTCGTATTCCTTTTTTAACCCTCCTGCAGATCTGGGATTCGCGGAGAGCCGATTATTGTCGATGGTCATTGAGGGTTGTGGGTTTCTTAGGCAAGATTTAGAGGGTCGCAGATCAGGAGAGATTTGGCAAGTCGAGGGTTGACAAGACTTGTCTTGAGTGGGGTCCCGCGACCCTAGTGACGAGTTGCCATTGGAGCTTTTAGCCTTCCTTTTGTTGTCAAGGGTCACCCAAACTTCTGTCTCAGAATCTATATCACCTAAGGTCGCGCGACCTTGGTGTCCCATCATCTCGGGTTGTGCGACCTCGGCAATGGCTCATGGGCTGCCGCTGGAGCTTTCAGCCTACCAAATGGTTGCCAAGGGTCGCCCGTGCTCACCCATTCTTCCTTTTTTTTCTTTTTAAATTTGTAATGGAAGTCCTTTACAAGTTTGAGTGCTTACCAAACACTATGCAAATGCTTTCCCAAACATACCCTCTATACCATATGTAAACTTTTTATTTCCTCATGATGTAATCAAGCTTATGGAAATCTCATTAGCGGCCTCCGACGTGCTTTCCTTTTTCATTTTTTCTAGAATCAAGTGGCACTTTAACTTAGTTTGCGCTCACGAGACTAAGTCCTTCTCCTTAGTTCGGTCAAATGCCCATATTTGGAAGCGATTACTTCTTTGTAGCATGATCCCAAATAGTTGCATCGAGTAGGAATCGAATTTGTGAGCTCATAACTTTTTAAGCGACTCCAATCGGAGGAAGGATTCTTCAACATACAGGTACATGCGGATTCAAGACACATGATGTATCCGATTAGACAAGTCTCACGTAAATTAAATTAATATGATCCTATAAGTCACGTGTTAAAACTCGCACATACATGCAAGTGGCAGGCGTTCCGTGTATGCGTGTCAACGTCCTCTTCCTTACCTGGAGATGCACGTTCTTGTTCCACTTTTTTGGGCTATGGGGGTAGTTAGTTTCTTGTTCTCTCTTGATCCTCAAATCTCAGCCTCATGTGACATAAGACGGGACAATATAAAAGAGATGTTGACATTCTATTT